GTCGACGTCATCTAGCGGGAGGCCCAGGAATGGTGCTGTTTCGACGAGGTCGGACTAATGGAAAAAGGGTGTTAAATGTGAGGTTGGTAGGACGTGAAAAGAGGTGGTCAGTGTCATGCGGAGGCTCGTTGCATGCAGGACATACATTGGATATTTCGGGGTATATTCGGGATATGTCGGAGTTTAACTTGCTACAATATCCAGAACGAAGGTGCGCTAGGGTCACTCGCGCTTATMGCGACAAATCGAGCTCTTACGTCTTCAATATGTGGCGGTTTGAGTCCAAGAACGCCATTCAATGGATGGTGGTCGGTGAAGGTGTTGATAGATCCACYGTGAACGGCGGTCGACGTAGTTAAGGAAAGACCTCTTGATGCTCCTAGGGGCGGTTTCCGCTCCAAGCAGGTGGGTACAAGCGTAATTTCTACAAGGGAATCCAGCAGGAACTGCTTGAGGAGTTCATTATGCTCTTTAACTAGGAGCATAAGCGTCTTACTATGTTGGTATTCGATGGGACATACCAAGAGGCATGCTGTCGTGGTCCGGAGTGCAGTATTATGGCAGGTCTGCAGTTTCCTCATTTGCGTATCTCTGCATTTAGGCGACCATATTGGTGCGGCATAATTGAGGACCGGCCGATTGCCTTGTAAGTTGCCAACAACGTTTCTTTGTCTTTTCCCCATGTGCTGCCCGCTAGCGACTTGAGGATTGATTGTTGCGGCTCTGTACTTTGGCAATAATCGGCGTCGTATGGGGATAGAAGGAGCATAGACTATCGAAAGTTACGCCTGAAATCTTARGGTTATTGATAGTCTAAATTTCGCCGGGACGCCATCGACTGCAATATTAAATTCAAAACTATACTGCTTCGTCCAGTTCGTAAATATGGTCGCTGTGGATTTGGTGGGGGAAAGTGTTAGGTTCCGTGCAGTGAGGAAACGAGATACGTGGGTGAGGTAGCCATTTACCTGTGAAAACATCCCATTGATTCCATTGCCCGACGTTAATATTGCAATCATCTGCGTACGAGGTTATTGAAACTCCCTCTAGTGGCTGTGGGAGTTTCGAGATTTAGAAGTTAAACAGTAGATAGATAGATATAGATATATAACTGAGGAATGCACTGCGACCATAGGTCCATTGTGCCCTCTCCTAACTCACAGGGACTC